TCTCGCATTACAAGCGGTAAGTATTCAAATAATACTCGAATTTGTAAGTGCAACACAGTTCATGCAAACTGGAGGCGTTGACTCCACAAGCGACTTGCAGATAGCCGTGAACGAGTTGCAAAAAGTCAGTATGTTTTTGGCGACCCAGAAAATCATCCGCGACAAACTGAAGGAGGCCCTTACCGAAATAGAAGGTTTCGAAGATATTCTGGCAGAAATTATTAACAACAGCGTCAGCATGTACGAAAATCGGATCTACGTTCTCCCAGAAGAGAAACACACACTTGTTATGGTCGTGGCTTTCTCCCTATATCTTTTGGATTCATCTAAGCAAGTGGATGGCAAGCAAATCGGAGTTACCATTCCGAAAATGGCCAAAAAGGTCAACCTTGGAAAAATTGACAAAATTTTCAAGGCATGAATCGCTCCCATTTTTAATCTTTTGCAGGAATGTGAAGTTGTTAACTTGTTTGGCGACATGAGCGTCGAGCCGTTTAGCTACGTCAAACAAACTCTTTCTTTCGACCCATCGAAATGGCCAGAATGCACCGGAGGCCGTGTTTCCAGCCAAGGCGTTCTTCTCACGCATATGCCACGTTTTCAGTTAGTTCTGCTCTCTGTTTTCCTTCGACTATGTTGTAGTTTATTTCCATTTTCACGTCAAATTTGTTAAAATCTAATTTTCCATTTTAGAGTGGAGTACACGTCACTGACGGCTGATTTAGCCTGGCACACCAATATTGCCGTTACTCGAACGAGTGAAAGATCTGTCGCTGAAAATCGCGAGCTATATGAGCTTGCTCTGCGTGGTTTGCAGTACCTATCGGGTTGGTCTGTGCAAGTGCTCGACACATTTACATGGAAGCTGTCACATTGCGCTGACGAATTTACCAACCCAGATTGTCCTAAAGATGCAGAAAACTATGAGCGGGTAATACTTGCTGTCTTCGAATTCATCTTTATCTAAGCATTGGTTGATTTAGTGCTCTTCATTTCTGTTATATGACTGTGTCGGCTAAGTGGTTTTCGGCTTACGTTTTCATAACTTTAATACTGCTGCCTGTTGGTCTGAGTACTTAAACACAAAAGGACTCAATTTACTTACCTACCACCTACAAAAAGTGTTACATAGTTTTCTTTCTTAGCACCTTTCACACGCTTTGTCATGTTTAACAAAAGCTGAATGCTCTTTTGAACTTAAAGCAATGTAATGTTGACCAATAAAAGAGTGTTTCATACTATTAGCTTATGCACATATTTCGCCCTCTCGCCACATTACGTTCTAGGCAACCAGGTACAACTACTCATCTGAGGAACGCTTTGCTCTGATCAAGTTAGTGTCGATGATCAAGTCTGTAGAAACACAACTTCTAAGACTGGAAACAAATTACTCTGAAGCGATCCGACGATCAGTTTATCGTGACCTCCACGCTCTCCTTGGTCATCTTCATGGACTCCTCGTAAAGGCTCAAAAGAAGAAAGACAAAATCAAACTCCAGCGTCTCATCCATGCTATCCAGGCCACATGTGCGGACCAGGTTCGTTGTCCTATTTTTTCGGTTGTGCTCTTGCTCTTTACGACGTTTAGTTGTCCGTTAAGTTTTGTTTCCCTGTTGGCCAGAAAAGGAGGAGATAGATAATTGGTTTTGACCGACGTGACTGTCATAGGCTAATATCTGATATCCGTAAGCATGCCGGAACCATAGTGATCCACAAGCTCGAAACCAGTATTTTTATGATATCCTGACTCTCCATACTCTATATTTAATCCGTCGTACTTGACGGAAACTTTTGTTGACGCGATAGGCCAGTTCTGACTTGCGCGTAAATTTGGGCTATTTTGCCTTCAACCTGCGCCCCACTGACTCGTCATATTAATCCTGCTCGACGGGAAAAGTCCCAAATTCTTGGAGGCAGGTGAGTACCCGGCAGAAAGTACCCGTCACCTCGGGCCATGGACACGGTATTTCATGAACCATTACAAACTAGACCTTACACACTTGGATCAGACCCTGGGGATGTTGCCACACAACCACGTGATGGGCTTATTGTAGTCTGATCGAATCATCAAGTCAGGTGACAAATTTCCAGACCACCTGTTTTGGGTCGGTGTGAAATACTGTAGTTAGAGAAGGTTGTTCCCTATGAACCGGGAGCAAGACTAAACTGAGTGGACGGAATAGAAGCGCATACACAGTGGTAAAAGGCCCTTTTAGGCCTAAGTAATGTCACCTTCCGTTTTTGTGGTCTTCCGCAACGAGTTTCCCCAATCCTCTAAAGTGATCCTAATTTTCGCATGCGATTTATTTAGGGTTTGGGCAACGGAATGCCTTTTCTCTTTAATTGAATGCCTCTACTCATATGAATATCTTAGTATTCATTGTACGCTTGTTATTCGTCAGTATTAGTCTCTGGTCCTTCTTCACTGCAAGCCCCTTCTGACAGATCCTTAACCAATACCTATAGTGATAATAGTTGAAAACCTATTTTATGTTGTTTGCAGAGCATGGACTCTGTGGAGGCCGACCTAATTATGACTGGAAGCAGCAGTAGTGGTTCGGGAACTCAGTCAAAGGCTTGGGGACGCGCGATGTCTTCCAAAATTTCAACGAGCAGCCTCACCTCTGGTTCCAATTCAACTCTTGCGAAGGCTGCAGCCTCGATTGCTTCCAACGGTGGAAACTGCACACCGAATCAGATAATGCGTCGCGTTGGTCCGTCTTCAAGTCAACTTTATCTGCTCAGAACAATGTTAGAACTTATGGTTGACCAATCTTCACCTTCTAAGCATTCGCTTCGCAAAGAAATTGATAGCACTACCCTGTCGTTGATCGAAAACTTCCTCAAACACAGCTTCTATTGGCCGTATCTCCTCAACTTCAGTCGTGCGTTTTTGCCTTTTTCCATCTGTCGCCAATCACATTTCTATACCGCGTACAAGCGGACTATATTTCTTTCAATTATGATCCTAAAATTGTGTCTGTTAAGGTATTTTTCTCCTATCCTAGTTGTAGGATGTACTCTTGCCAGTTTATAGAGTTTAGATCATTTGTTGAATGAACTTTTCTAAATATTCGGAAATTTTCATTTTAACCATATAATTCAATTCAATCATATAAATCCTATAACGTACTTATATTAAGTAGGTTGCCTTATTGTTAATTATTCCCGCCTACAGTGCAGTTTGGTTAAATGGCACATATGCTCTCCAGGTTATAGTATACGAGGACGATGCCTATTTTCGTATATCGTATCCAGATAACCAAACACTGCATGTTCCAAAGACAAATGTCTCGATTTTCACCCACGCAAGGGTGGATATTTCGGTATTAGAAAAGCGATGCCAATTCAGCTGCTGGTTAACCACCTCGCTTACTATTAGTGGACAAGGATGCTGATTTCGAAAGATGAGTTACCTGTTAGTTTTGCTGCTGACTAACCAGCACGTCCACAGGTGGGGCACGACGGAAGGGTCTTCGGTGAGGACCAGCGGCGAACTAAGCATATTCTGGTTTGAGGAATAAACAGCCGTTTTATAGCAGTTATGACGCTACCAAGACTCTGAAACCTGCGGTTTGACAAACCGACTGCCCTAGAAAACAAGCAAGCCTGAATAAGGCACTTCGCTGCAGCGACCATGAACCACCATTAATTAAGTTCTTTAGCCACTATTACCTGACTGTTAGATTCCGCCGACGGAAAAACAAACACGAAATACCAACCTAGGTTGCTATTAGCATTCGTATTTACTAAAAATGCGTAAGATGTCCCATACTACGGCTTTCACAGTAGCCGAACAGTTCTGCAACCCTGCTCCACTTGTGCTGGTGAGTCTTATGCCAGATTCTTGGTATTGGATTCCGAAGTTTCCATACGCTCCTCAACCCTGGTGCACAGTATGGTAATGCACAATCCCGCTAGCTGTTGCTTGCCTGAGGCCCTCGTCTCAGACCCAGGCTTCCGGAAAATAAAGATCCCGCCGACAGATTTATTAAACGCCCTCTATTCAACCGGTGTTTGTCTCTTCCCCTGTCGATAGGATATGGCTGTTGCCTTCCTCATACAGATGAATGAAACATTGCTCTCATTAGAGCTCATAAATGACCGGCTAGTATGCGTTAAACTAAAGGGCCGCTTCACCAACATCTCCTGCATTTCCACTTATGTCCCAACATACATTTTCGAGTAATTTACTAAAGCAACAGTTCACTGAATGGGAAGAACTGGTTGTGGATGCTTAGAATGACCAAGTTGGTTCAGCTGACTTTTCACACTCATCTAATTGGCATAGAAGAATTGAGGATTGTCCTTACACGAAAACTAAACAACTAAAAACTTTAAACGCAAATAC